GAGAAAAACAAACAAACAAAAAAAATTTTCCTATAATTCCCCATCAAAATACTCCCACTTGCTTCAAACACACTAATCTCATCCTCCTCGCCACTTTTTGAAGCAGCATACAGGTTACATTTATAGCAATTTCTATCACATAAAAGCATTACACAGTGTGCTCTTCTGCCTTATTCAGTGCATCAGACAACACGAGACTTCGGGTTCTTTCCTAACACCAAAATGGCCATGAAAGATGAACATTTTGAATTGACTCAGGGCATTGAGGCAGCCACAAGACACCACCTAAGGACACTTAAGGAGGAGGATTTCCAGAACTGCTGCAGGAAGTGGTAAGAATGAAGGAACAATTGTGTTGTAATTCTGAGGAAGATTAACAAACATGCATTTTAAGTATAATAAATTTGTATTCAATATTAACATTCATTTTACTTTTCAATCACGTGACCATTTCTTAACTCAGACAAGTAGACACATCACAGCTAAATGTAACAGATGGCTGATCTTGATTTTTTTAACTTGATTGGCTCACATGATGCCTACATTATTAATGGAAATTTTTGAGTATACTGGGTAGGTCATGGAGGTGTGACCTGGAGTGTTCCAACTTGGTCCTTGGGCCCTTTATCTCTGACTCTTTTCTGGTCTTTCTGCTTCCTGGGTACCATGAGGTGAGCAGCTTTTCCCTGCCATGCCCATGCCCTTCCACCATGATCTTCCTCCTTTGATGCCAATGAACCATGAACTGAACTCTATGAAACATGAGTCAAATAAGCCACCATCCCCTTTAACTTGTGGGTGTCAGGTAATTGATCTCAGCAACAGAAAAGCTAACTGATACTTCCTTATTCTGGGAAGGCAAAAGCTTTAAGAAGTAGGGCTATGGAGCACAAGGGTCAGAGTCACCTCAGCCAACTTCTGTTGTGGCAGGGAGGGCTTGAGCTTTGACTTTGGGACAACCCGGTAACACTTTTGAGCCTTCAGAGAAAGCACCACTGGGTATATAGCTGATGTGCAAGTGTGCAAGGATTCAACACTCTGTCTTGGAAGTAAATGGCTCCAGATAGGATGCCCTCCACCACCACGCCCAACCTTACCCACCTCTCCTACAGACTCATTTGTTTCAATTCCCCATGTACAGAGTGACAAATCTAAGCCCAGGGTTACATACAGAGTCAGTGGCAGGACAGGGAACAGTTTGTCTTCATTTTAGATTCATTCCAGTTGAGCACATGCCAAGGAAATGTCACCCTGTGGTTATATGGTGGGAGAAGGAACTGAGCCTAACATGCCCTTGATTATCGAAGAGGTCACCACCTAGCCTTGACCTTTCCCAAGGAAACCACAACAGCAAGGAGTTGCACTGCACAGATAGGTTTGCAATAACTCACTTTATTCTTTATTTTCTCTAGGGATGTAGCATTTGGTGCCTTGTCACCTCAGGACTGGTCCCTTCATGGGTCAGCCCAGCTGTGGGACACCAGTCTATACTCCTGTGGTCCTCTCCTCTTCAAGCAAGGGCCTGGAATTATTAGAGGCCTGCCGCTGTGGCCACAAGGGCTGTCCCAGTTGACACAACAGTGCCCAGTAAGGCTTTAGTAGATGCAGTGAGTCCAGTTGCCCCTGGGAAGAAACAGAATGTGCGCAGAGTGTTATAGGCTAGAGAGCTTCAGTGGACAGACCTGCCAGGTCATGACAGCCCCTAGGGTGAGGGTGGAGGTTCCTAAAACCCTGGAATCTCTGTCTGGGGATGAGGCAGCAATGATCTCCAGTGGAGAATCCAGCTGGAAGCTGCCTCCCTCTGCAGGAAAGATGGGTGAATCTGCTCCATCTGCCGGGATGGAGGAGACGCCCCACATAACCCAGCATGAACCTGACATGGAAGCCAGGTTCCTTCCTGCTTTAGTCTCATCCTGAGAGAAACCTCAAGAACCTGGAGGGTGATACACACACAGATTCCATAAGGCTGAGATCTGGATGGATTCTCTGTGGCTTTCATCTCCCTCTCAGCCCTCCCTCAGCAAGCCCTAGCTGGACACTCACCCACAGACTGCAGAACGGACACCAGGCTTCCTGCGGGCACCCCGCCACCATTGGCGATGGCAGTAGCTGACATCATCTTGGCTGCCAGGGATGAAGCAGCAATTCCTGCTCCAGTGAAGCCCACAGCATTCAGCACCACGGGCACAGACACCACAGCCAGCCCTGAGGGGAGAGGAGCTGGTGGGGCTGGGCTCAGGGCAGCGGACCCCATGTTGGGTCAAGCCTGGGGTCCTTACCAGGTCTGCAGGAGATGAGCTCTGAGGTTGGGAAAGACCACAGGCATGGTCAACAGTGACCAGCCAAAAAGCAGGGCCAGGTGGAGGAGTAGAAGGAGCAGTGGGAGTCCCTGGTGTCAGGGTCCTGATCTAGGCTCTGATGGCCAGCAAGAGTTTCTTTGGGGAAGTCACTTGCCCGGGCCTCAGCATCTGCCTTGGTACAATGATGAGGTAAGGGATGGTTCCTAAGCTTTGTTTTCATAGAAGCAGGTCTGGCCTGAGTGGTGTGAATGAACTTAAGAACCACTTAAGATGGCAGCTTTGGTTCCCTGAGTCTCTGGAAGCATGTGGGAAGCCACCACACCCAGGGTGGTGGGGCCCAGGGAATCCCTGTGATGAACCTCTGCTGTCCTAACTCAAGCTGCCACAAGAGAGCCCTGCATAGGCGACACTGGCCTGCTTTTCAGGGGATGAAACAGGAGCCCAGGGAAGTTCAAAGACATGCCAAGGTCACAGGGATGCTCTGCAGTGGAGACATGACCTTTGTGGAGGATGCGGCCACCCCACTCTACACTATACTCATTCCTTGTGTCTACTCCCTATTTCTTTTTTTTTTTTTTTTCATTTTTCTCCGGTACCGGGAACTGAACTCACGACCTTGCGCTTGCCAGGCAAGCGCTTTTGCCGCTGAGCTAAATCCCCAGCCCCTCTACTCCCTATTTCTTATCTCCAGTGGCTTCCAGTCCCTTCTCCCTGGCCCCTTCCCTCCTCCCAGCTCCTCCCTCTACCATCTCCTGAGGCTCCAGAGAAGCCTGGGCAAGGACAGCATGGCTGCTTCCCTGGTCTCTGAGTGCCAGGCTTGAATCCCTTCCCTGCAGAGACTTACCTCCTCCAACTACAGCTAGGGCAATCTTGCCTGAAACCAAAAGAACATTTGGTGAGAAGGGATCCACACTGCCTGCTCCTCCCCTCGCCAAGTCAACCACCCACGAAGAATGGGGGCTGCCCCAGGGAGGGCTCCCAGGAAGGAATGACCCTGCCTGCCCTCCCTCAGGCACTCTGAGGAGGAGACGGCAGAAGGGGGTAGTTGCTCCTCCGTCTAACTCCTCTTAGACTCTGGGGACCTGTCCTGAGTGAGTTACCTGCCCTGGCCCTGGGATCTAAAGACAGAGTTTGGGGTCTTGGTTCCAGAAAATCCAACACCTTATCCAGAGTTTGTTTGTTCTTTGTTCATCTGCCTGTGGGCTGCTTGGCTGGTTGCCTGGGGATTTGGGGGGAAATCAGAAGTCAGCTTTTCCAGGTCTCTCCTTCCCAGGCCAGGTTTGGTTCAAACAAACAGTGAAATTCTCACTGTGATGTCCCTTCTCAATGAGCAGAAGACACCTGGCACAGTAATTGAGGCCACAAGGATGAGAGTTAAGCTCTCTGGACAGGGCTGGGAGTTCCTGAGACCCAGCCTCCGTGTTTGTCACTGAGGTTGCAGGACACTGCCTGCAGCCCAGAAGGAGCTCCCAGGAGAGCGGTGCACCCCAGGCCGGAGTTGCACCGCATTCTCCACTGCTTTCCTGCAGGAGGCAGGGCGAGCACTGCTGAATCCAGAGTGCTCTTTGTGCTACTTGAGAGCCATGCTCGGAGGAGAGGGCGCCGGACACATGCAGGTCAGCACATCGCCTCCTCCAGGAAGTCTCTGGATTCTCCCATACAGAATTCATTCTTGTACTTCTGTGACTGGAGTGCTCATAACCTTGAACAATTCCAGATTTACATGGTACTGGATCTCCAACACCATGAGCCTCTGGTATGTTGAAGGCTGAAATCCTGTTCTTCAGCTACAAGGGTCTTAACTGCACTCTTTGGGCCCACCAGGACAAGAAGTTCTAAAAACAATAAGTGCAGTGGGCTTAGCCAGCTCCCAGGGAGAGGCCTGGGCTCCTCAGTGGAGGAAGCAGACACAGGTGCCTGCAGAGCAACCCTGAGTGACCAGAAGGGACGTGTGGATGCAGCATGGATCCTCAACTCAGGAAACAGGAACCAGTTTCAAACCTGTTTCAAAGGCATTAGCTGCTCAACTCTCTTGGCAGGCAGGACAGGAAATGCCAGGTAGGCCGCCCCTGAGGGTGGCATATGCAAAGCTCAGAGGCAATAGGAGGCTGTCTGATAGCCTGCGGGGCTCACTGGTAGTCATGGGTAGCGCGTATATCTGGCCCTTCTGGGCTGTGTAGGATTTGCCCTGAGGGCCCCCCACATTCTTCACTCTGTGACTGGAACAATTCTCCATTTTTGTTTTATTTTCTGTCCCAAGCTCTGAAGGGATATACCCACCTTCCTGCCCAGGGCACCAGGACACTGATAAATGTTCCTCCTTGGTAAATAAGAGACAATATTACCTTCCTCTGTGGTGGTTAAGAGAATTAAAAGAATTGATAAATGTCAAGTGCTACCCATAGCAAGTAAAACTAAAAAGCACTTGATAAAGTATAATTATTCTAAATGTGTTTTTGTTTTTTGTTGTTTTAAGATGGAGTTTCGCTATGTAGATCAGGCTAGCTTTATCTGATTCTTTTGTCTTTTTTTTCTTTTGGTGTCAGGAATTGAACTCATGGTGCTATACGGCTGGGATATATCCCAGGCCCAGGCTAGCTTTGAACTCACTATGTATCCCAAACTGACCTTGAACTCAGGCTAATCCTCTTGCCTCAGCTGTCCCAGCACTGAAATTACAGCCTTGTGCCAGCACATCTGGTTTCTTGTTATGTTAAGCAACTGGGTTTCTTAATCTTTAACTGAAGCTCTGTTTACATTTCTGATAAGCAGAAGGAAATGTTGGGTGTGGTCCTGGTCCCGGTCCTCTTTTTTTTTTTTTTTTTTTTTTTTTTTTTTGGTTTTTCTCCGGTACCGGGAACCGAACTCACGACCTTGCGCTTGCCAAGCAGGCGCTTTTGCCGCTGAGCTAAATCCCCAGCCCCCCGGTCCTCTTGATACACACTGTTCCTGCTGAGCCGGGTTCTCAAGGAGTGCCGTTTCCCGGGGCCACTCACCTCCAACTGAGGAAGCAGCCATAGAGACAGCAGCGGCAGAGGACGCCGGCAGGATGGTGCCAAGAGCAGTTGTTGCAGAGCCCAGGGCAGAGGCTGCAGGGCCCAGGGCAGCCTTAGATACCAGCATGAGCCCTGGGGAGATGCAGAGAGTCAGAGGTTGGCGCAAGGGTCACGGAATTGTCCCTCCATTCAATGTCATGTGTTTGTGCTGGTGAATGTTGGAGACTCTCTGGGTGTCCACACACTTGGCAGCAGATAGAAGTGAGGATTAGAAGCTCCCCTAAGGCCATGGAGGGTTTTGGAGATCAGAGTTGTTAGCGTGGTAAACAGCAGTAGAATAAGCTGTACAAACTGTCCTCTGTATAAACTAAAACACATGCAAATACAAGCAACACTCGTTCTGCAGAACCGCAAGTCAGACACACATACTATGTGGGAGATGCTGACTTTGACCGAGGGACGTTGAGGACCTCAGGGTAGATAAATGATAAAAACAGATAAATAGAACCAGAGGGAGTTCTGTGAAAACCTACAAAGAAAGAAGCTAATGTACAGAATTTTGTTAAAACCAATGCTCTGGACTGGACATCTACAGGACACACTGTGAGGAAAAGGTCCTCACACATAAAGGGACATTTAAGTGAAAATCTAAAGGAAGTGGTTGAGGGCCACAAATTCACATTGTCTAATTTTGTATACTTCCCTAAGGGATAAATGAAGGCTTGGGGTTATCGATACCACCCTTTTGAGATTTCCCGCAAACCTATCATTGCACACAGGCAATACATTCATGGTATATACCCAATAAATAGTGGCTGGCTTGGAGTGTCTTTATCTCTGCCCATTGCCTTCCTGGAGGCATTGACTTCCCAGTCCCCCTTCATGTATTACTAAAATTTGTCTCTATTTCTTATTTCATCCTTTTGCTGTACCCCTCATACAGGCAGTTGGGGATCTTGGCCAGGTCCCCCATGTTTTGTTTTGTCTCTTTTTTTTTGGTTTTTTGGATTTTTTCTAATACTGAGAATCGAACTCACGACCTTGTGCTTGCCAAGCAGGCACTGTGCCGCTGAGCTAAATCCCCAGCCCCAATGAGCCTCACTTTCTGTTTTTTTTTTTTTTAGGGGGAGAGGGTTTTTTTTTCCCTGTACTGGGAACCAAACTCACAACCTTGTGCTTGCCAGGCAGGCGCTGTGCCGCTGAGCTAAATCCCCAGCCCCAGGTCCCCTGTGTTAAAGTCCATTCCAGTCTTAACTACATGGTGAAACAAAAGCCAAACCTGCCTCCCTGATAGATGTCTCTAATGTAATTTGCAGCTGACAAGACATTTAATTTAATTTACTTTCTAACTAGTGTTCTAATCTACAAAGGTCAGCCCCTCACAGAAATGTCCTGGCTGCTCAAACAAGGCCAAAGACCACTCCTAAGGGGCCTGGCCCCCTCTACCTGTATATATATAAACCCAAACTCCTTGCCTCTCGCCATGCTCTATCTCTACTCTTAGAGTCCCGCCCATCACTCCCATTCCAATAAACTACCCTCTCTGTTCCTGTGTTTCGTACCTGATCCCTCTGCCGACCTTACACCTCATAGGAAGTAAATTCTGGTGGTGAATCCAGGGGACAAGAGAGCCATGACAGAGCAGGACCCACCTGCAGGCCCCTCAATTGAGGCAGGAGAAGGCCCAGGTCTGGAGGGGAGGGGACTGAAGGGGGATCTAGGTGTGAGTCTTTGAGGACTCAGATCTCTGGCCAGGGGCAAGGTCTTGACTCCCCAAGGATCTTCACAACAGGAGCATAGGGTGGACAACTGGAGACCGCATAAAGTGAGAGACTGTGCCCTCTGAAATTGCCCTCTCACCCCCAGCACTGTCCCTCCCAGGAACACTCACCCTGTGATGAAAGGCCAGCTATGAAGGTGCCAGTGGCCGCCCCACCAACTTGAGCCATGGTCACTGCTGATGCTATCTTAGCACCCAGGGATGAGGCCAGAGCGCCCATTCAAGCTAATTTCATGGGAAAGACGTGCAGCTTCCCAAACCTGCAAAAAGGATGGTACTGGTGGGGAGAGGCAACCCATAACTGTCTTATCATCCACTTCTCTGAAAATCTTGAAAGGCAACAGGATAGGTGGGAGGCTGCTCCCCACTAGCAGGGCACTGGGCCTGGAATGGGGCTTAAAGTGAGGGAAGGAGGGGTGTGGATATTGGGTTGTGCAGGGCCTCAGGGAATTTTATTTCCCTCAGATGGCTGCTTCCTTCTTCATGAAAATCCCAGTGCTCATGTTTTAGACACTTCTGGGACTCCCTTAAATCTGCTGGAGTATAAAGGCAATTGTCAAACTTATAGCTATATGCCAGATTCAAGGATGGGCCAAACAAACCAGCCTGTTCTCGTAACAAGAGAATAACGAAACTCAGCCAGACTCGCATTCCAACACCAGCTGCAGTCTGTGAGATAAGTCAGCCAAACAGTACATCTTGTCAGCTTGTTTCAAAGACTTATCACCTAGGGAGAGACCCCCGCTCAGCCTTAGATAATGATAGATTCTTCCTGCTCACCCTAGCCCTAACCTTCCTGTTATAGGACAGTAACCTTCTAATTAACTTGCTTAGAATAAATCTGCCTAGCAATGTATGACAAGACAATGCGAAACCAACTATAGAATATCCTATTATCTGCCTTTTATACTTCCTTCTAACAACCTGTATAAGTGACTGTTTAACCCCAGCCTGAGGCTGGTGATTTAGGAATGAGATTCCCACCAACCCGCTAGCATAAATAAAGCTGTTTGCCATCCACATTCTTTGGTGCTTTGTGTCTTCCATTTGTTTTCAGCAGCAGGAGCAGTTTAAAGTCACCGAAGTTAGCAAACAGGAACCAGCGACATTGTCAAGGCACATACCTTGGCTGAGGTGCTAGTCTCTACTTTTCCATCATCTCCTCTAATGTCAGAGCTGGGGTCCTATCCTCGTTTTATAAATGTGGAAACAGAATCCAGCTCAGAGAGGATATAGGATTTGCTCTAAGTCCAAAGGCTCCGCGGCATGCAAGACCCCAGCCAAGTCCAGCTGCTTCAAATAAGGGGCTTGTGCTGGCTGTGATTTTGTTCCTCCTCACACTCACCTCTCCCCTGTGCCATCTTCACACTCATGTACTCCTTAGGCTTGAGGGAACCCCTAACTGCAATGTGCATTGTTCCAAAATCCAAGTGCAAGAGCTCAAGGCCCATCCCTCCCAACCCTTACCTTTCTTTGCAGTCGCCCTGATGAAAACAGGACAGGGATAGGAGGCAATACACACAGAGTGCTACTCACTGCCACTGGAGTTTGGGAGAAACTCCTTTTCTGCCACAGAAAAAGGAGCCCTGGCTATCGCTTCTGCTCTTACCAAGCAAAGGGGGATTTCTTGAGCTTGTAGCACTGCCGACTTCGTCTAGATATTTGACAGAGGGTCTGGTTCCAGCCAGATATTTATGAAGCTTCACTCTGGCTGCAGGGCAGTTCCTGAGAATGCCTGCAACCAATCAGTGAAGTGTTCTCTGCTCAGGAAACTGAAACTGATCTTTGCTCTCTGGTTGAGAGTGATATCTTTTTCCTGTTGAGGAGGAAATTCCATTATTGTAGAAACAGAATTTGGCCACTCTATTAACCATTGCCCATTACTATAAGATGCCTTGTCATATTTTAAATATTTTATCAGTGACAAAATTTAATGACTTTTAAACATCCTTGCAGTATTCAAATATATTGTAGACATATTTCATATTTCCCAGAATTTATTTTTTATTACACTAATGATATTAATGATATTAATTTCTTCCTAAAGGACAAAACTTCAGTTTTCATGTCTTGTTTTTTTAATTATTGCTGTTCAAAGTTAAAATGGGTAGCCATTATTTTATAACTGAAAGGTGGGAGTTGGGAGAATGAAGGGAGGGGGAGAGAGAGAATTTATTATTGCCAAATAATAACAGTAAGCCTGGGTATGATGGCATACACCTGTAATTGCAGCACTCAGGAGGCTGAGGCAGGAGGATCATTGTGGGTTCAAAACCAGCGTGGGCTACACAGTGAGTCCAAGGCCAACCCGAGCTACATAGCAAGACTCCGCCTCAAAAAAAAAAAAAAAAAAAAAGAATAGCCAGGCATGGTGGTGCACGCTTGTAATCTCAGCACTTGGGAGGGTGAGGCAGGAGGATCACTGTGAGTTCAAGGCCAGCTTGGGCTACAAAGTAAGCTCAAGATCAGCCTGAACTGCATAGCGAGACCCTATCTCAAAAAGACAAAAAAAAATTAATTATTTTCTCAGAGAGGGGTGTCAAAAAACTAGAGAAGTTGTAGAATTGATAAGATAGCTTAACTTCTTGTAATATCATTCTTTACATCATTAGAAGATTGGATTTGGTTTTTTTGTTGTTGTTGTACCTGGAATCAAATTCAGGACCTTGTGCTTGCCAGGCAGGCACCGTGCCACTGCGCTATATCCCCAGCCCAGAACATTGGTTTTCTTTCCTTTTTTTTTTCCTTTTGTCTTTTTGAGACAGGGTCTCACTGTGCAGTTCAGGCTGGTCTTGAACTCACTTCGTAGCACAGGCTGGCCTTGAACTTGCAACGATCCTCCTGCCTCAGCCCCCAAGTGCTGGGATTGCAGGCATGTGCCACCATGCCTGGTGGTTTTCTTTTTTTTTTTTTTTATGTTAAAGAGTAAAAAAAGGACAACATAGCAATAGGGGGATTCACCGAATTACAGACAAAGTGGTAGGACATTATCAGTGGTTGTTATCTTACCTAAGGTAACTTCAAGATAGTTTTTCAGGAAAACAAATAGACAATAGTGAGTTACAGACAAAAATGGCAGGAAATTATCAATGGTTGTTGTACTATATCTTGGTTTCTCCAAAATGGTCTCTAGGGAAAACAAACAGAGCTATACAAGAGTGATCAATCAAATAATCATTAACTATTCTCTAATGGTTGTTGTTGAAAACACATAGTAACAAACATACATCCATTTACAAAATAGCATAGGAACAACACAAACATTACAGAGTTATGGACAGATTGGTAGGAAATCATCAATGGCTGCTACAATACATGTTGGCATCCTCAAAGTGGTTTCTCAGGAAAACAAAGATATGCAAGAAAGATCCAACAAGTAGTTACAGCCCAAGGGTTATGAAAAATAGCAGATTACCTCCTCATCAGTGACTCCCCTCACTGAGGTATGACAGCAGGAAGGAAGGCCAGGACTGAAAAAGAGGACTGATAGACCAGCACCAGTGTCCAGCAATGGGCCCTCCATTTTTTCCTCTATAGTCATGATTTCATGGGGCCCTCCTTGGAGACAATGGTCCAGCCAGAGGGAGAAGGCAGAGTATGCCCTGGGCCCCTTCATTCCTGCCGGACCAGCTGGTAGGAGGGGTCCAAGCCCCAGGGCCTCCACTCCAGAGGGCAGCCCGACCTCCAGTGGCCACCCCCACAGTCAGAGTATGGCCCAGGGGACCTCCCAGGGCAGTCCCTCCCGAGGTGGCCCAGGCCCCCAACAGCAGCAGCAGACAAATGCAGTCGATGAGCCCCCCGCCCGGGAACCAGACCCAGGGTCTGCCTCTCCCAGTGCTGCAACAGAGGCAGCCGTCCCCTCTCAGTCTCTCTGCCCTTTCCCCTTGGCCTCCCCCTCGCCACAGCCGCAAAACACTGAGGAGGCAACTCCCACCAACATCTCAAGCGAGTCATTCAGGGCAAAAGCCATCCTCCACAGCCCCCTTCCACTATCTGGGGCTGACTGAGCAACAAACCCATCCTCAAGAATAGTTTGTTCTTCTACTGAACTGGGATCCAGGGAAGTATGCTTTATCAATGCCTCTTGTCTAAGAAAGCAGGGGGGTGGTCTCTCCAGCCTCCCAGTGCATTGGGACCCCGCAACCACGTAATGTCCTCTCCCCAATTGTCAACACACACCATGCATGGTGGTTTTCAAATGTGAAAATGGATGCAATAATTCTGCATATGATATTGCTTCCAAAAAAAGTTAAAACTCACACAGCACTAGAAAGATCCAGAATATTCTAATGGTGTTTATTAAGACTAAATTGTACATTGAACAGAAAAAATAATGTCCTTTATTGTTGAATCTTTGAGTTGTTTCTACATAGATTTTTTTGGCAAGTATACATAATAAACTCATATATAGATAGCAAACTTATTAAGGATTGATCATGTTAGGTCCTCACAATTGGACCCTACCTACCTTGAAAAGAAAAAAACCCTGACAGACTTGTCTGTTCAAACAAGAAGCCCCCTCACCCAGCCCAAGAGACTGAAATAATTCTGTTTATTGCGCTGGTTCTCAAGCTTACAGGAAACTCTATAGAATGCTACTCTGCAAGTCAGCAGAATGCCATTGTTGTCCTATACTTCCCCGACATGCTTCCCACCAGAGGCACCAGACCCACCAACGATCCCTGAGAAACTTAAAATTTTCAATCTCCCTGAGCAGGATTCCCCTTCCCTGCTTAAACTCATCTATAAAGCATATCCTCTTCCTTTGTTCATGGTCAATGATCTTTCTGTCCTTGGCCAGTGGTCTCACTTACACGGTTTTTCACTTACAGGGTTTTGCCTGACAGATCACACACGGAGCATTAAAGTGCCATACAACACAGTATGTTTTGTTCAATTTTAAGAAATTTCAAGGCAGATTGCAAAATGACATTAAAATAAATTGCCCCCTTTGCCTTTGCTATCTTTCTGCATTGTTGTTTTCTTTCTGTCACAAATAGAATTTTCATTTCTTTGGCATTTGCAGAGATGTACCTCTTTGAAGAAACTTCTAATATTTTTCTCTTCTTTCTTTGTTTTGTGTTTTGGAGACAGAGTCTTGCTACGTAGTTTAGGCTGTCTTGAATTCACTATGTACCCCAGGCTGGCCTCAAACTCAAAGTGATCCTTCTGCCTCAGCTTCCTGAGTACTGGGATTATACGCATGTGCTACCATGCTTGGCTTTTTCTTCCTTTTATTTAAATTTAAATTAAATTTATTTCAACTGATACCTAAAAACCATAAAGACTGTCCATACTTATGGGATACCATGTAATGCTCTGATGGTGGGGACCACAAATTCACAGTGGCTAGTTTTACATATTTTCTAAGGGATAAACAGAAGCTTGATATTTTTGGTATCACCCTTTTAAGATTTCCCATTATCCTATTAGGGGTGGGCCATCATCTCCCCCATATTAAGACTAAGACTACTAAGACTATTGAGGCTCCTCAATCAATAAATGGTGTGGAGATCTGGGAAGGAAGTTAAGCTCTCTCTGGAAGGCTTTAAGCTCCCTTGAACCTCCACCCCAGCTGAGACCACCTGGCAACATCCTCAGACCAGGAGGTCTTTAGCTCCTGTTGCTTCTGCCATGCCAGATCTTGCTGGGCGTTTCAGATCAGGTTAGCCCCTCAATCTCTTTCTCCCTCTTTCTTCTTCCCTCTAAGCCTGCCTCCAAAATGATCTGAAGCCAGGAAGCTCCCAAGTTCCTGCCACACTGACAGCTTTAGATCAGGTAAGTCACTATGAGGAAGGGAAGGATGCTTATCAGATGCAAAGGGAATTTAGCCTGATCTGTAGAAACTTAGAATTTTAAAAATGTATTTAAAGATTTCTTAGGTAATTTGAGTGCAGTAAAATGTTAGTTTTCATTAGAAAATACTGTAGTTCTATGATGACCAGCTTGGTTGGCTTAAGAGATGCTGAGGAGATTCGTAAAGCACACTTGTGGACAAGTCATTCGGGCCTAACCTGGGAGACAATATCTGGTCACTGACTCTTCCTCTGTGGCTCTTTCCCTATCTCTCTGCTTCCTGGGTGCTGTGAGGTGAATAGCTTTCCTTTGTCACGCCTTCCACCATGTTGGTTCCGCTTTGAAGCCAGCTGACCATGGAGTGAGACTCCTGAGACCACGAGCCCCTCTGTACTCCTCCTCCTTTAAACTGGGGTGTTAGGGATTTTGTCCCAGCAATGACAAACTGCTCAACATAAATCCCGTCATAAATTAAAAAATATAAAGATTACACCCTCCTGGCCATTGCCTGGAGATTCAGGGTGCTCCATCGTAAAGACAAGCAGCACGAAAATGGGAAGAATGAGAAAGGAGCACAGAGATGCCCTGGACTCTGACCCAGAGCCCAGAAGGCCCAGCCTCCTTCAGTACAGTCCTATGTTTTCTGTAGGGTACACTCGCTCTCTTTACGCATTCACAGTTTCTTCCCCTTTCCTCTTTTTTTTTTTTTTCCCCTTTCCTCTTTGAAATAAAAAACTCCTTGGGGTACTGGAGCCCCTGCCCTGAACTTTGTTGCCCAGCCTCAATGGTGAGGCCAGATGGCCTTAAACCAATCATCACACCCCATTCCTAGGGCAAAAGCACTGGTTTAGAAAGAATCAATGGCTTCATTTCAAATACCATCAATGTTTATTAGAGGCTTTTGGTGCAGAAGTGCTCTTGGGTGGAGACAGGAATGA